CTCAAATTGAACGAAAAAAGACAACGAATGCCAACACCAAGATGACAGAGATGTTATGAGCTATCTGCTAAAGATTTTAAAGCAACCATGATAAAAAGGCCTCAATGAGTAACTACGGACATGCTTGAAGAAACGAAAAAGTAGAAATTTTCAGCAGAAAAACAGACCGTTTCAGCAAAGAAATAAAAGATATAAAGAAGAACCAAATGGAAATTTTATGCCTGAAAAGTACAATAACCAAAAACGTAATAGATAGGCTCAACATCAAAATGGATGAAATGGAGGAAAAAATATGTGAACTTGAATATAGAACAATGCAAATCACTCAATTTGAGCAATAGAGAAAATAGGCTGAAAAAAATCAGCTGAGCCTCTGGAACCTTTGGGACTATAACAAAGGATTCAATATTTATCTCAGTGGGTTCCCAGAATGAGAGAAGAAAGAGAGCAGAGCTAAAAAAGTCCTGGAAGAAATAATGGCTGAAAACTTCCCAAATTTGGCAAGAGATGTAAAACTACAGATTAAAGAAGCTGAGTAAACCCTAAATAAAACTAACATAGAGAAATCCATACCAAAACACACTATGGTCGAAGCCTGAAAACTAAAGAGAAAGATAAAAAATCTTGAAAGCAGCCAGAAAGAAACATCTCGTGTACGGGGGGGAAAACAATTTGAATGACAGGAGATTTCTCATTAGAAACCAGGGAGGTCAGAAGGAAGTGGCACAATATGTTTCAAGTACTGAAAGAAAAGAGCTGTTAACCCAGAATCCTATATCCAGTGAAAATATTCTTAAAACGCGAAGAAGAAATCAAGACATTTTCAGATGAAGGAAAGCTAAAGAATTTGTTGCCAGCAGACCTCATCTAAAATAATTAATAAAGAAAGTTCTCTAAACAGAAAGAAAAAGATAAAAGAAAGACTCTTGGAAAAGCAGGAAGGAAGAAAGAACACAGTTAGTAAAAATACAATATATTCTCCTTTTCCTCTTGATTTTTATAAATTATGTTTGATGAGGAAACAAAAATTGTAACCTTATCTGATGTGGTTCTAAATGTTTGTAGAGAAAATATTTGAGAAAATTACATTATTAACAGGAGAGGGTAAAGGGCCATAAAGGGAAATAGATTTCTGTGCTTCCCTCAGTTGGTAAAATGAGAACAGAACATGGTGACAATTTATGTATATAATATAATACCTAGAGCAACCACTACAAAAAGCTATAAAAAGAGATACACTCAAAAGCGTTATAGAGAAATCAAAACAGAATTCTAAAAAATATACAAGTAACCCAAAGGAAGTCAGGAAAAAGAGAAACAGAGAAATGAAAAACAAAAAACCAGGAAACAAGAAATAAATGGCAGACAATTCTTAAGATATACCACGTTAACACTAATCAAAAGAAACCTGAGCAAATTAGTTTGCAAGGGCTGCTGCAACAAAATACCATATGGCAGGTGGCTTGAACACCAGGAATTTATCTTCTTACAGTTCTGGAAGCCAGAAGTCTAAGATTAAGATGTCAGCAGGGCCATGCTCCCTCTGAAGGTGCTAAGGAAGGATCCGTTCCAGGATTCTCGCTTAGCTTGTGATGGGTCCTTGGCTTATGGCAGCATAATTCCAGTCTCACATGGTGTTCTCCCTGTGTACATGCCTGTCTCCAAATTTCCTCTTCCTATAAGGGAATCAGTTATATTGGACTACAGTCCCACCCTACTCCAGTATGACCTCATCTTAACTTAACTAATTACATCAGCTGCAACTCTGTTTCCAAATAAGATCACATTCTAAAGTACTGGGAATCAGGATTTCAACTTCATTTTGGGGGACACAATTCAACCCATTACACTGGAGTAGCCATATTAACTTCAGAAAAAGCAGACTTCAAAGCGAGGAAAATTAGCAGGGGTAAAGAGGAGCATTACATAATGATAAAAGGGTCAATTCTCAAAGAAGACCTAACAGTCCTTAGTGTGTATGTATCTAACAACAGAGCATCAAAATATATGAGGCAAAAACTGATAGCATTGCAAAGAAAAAAAGAGAAATCCATTATTATAGCTGGAAACTTCAATACCTCTCTATTAGTATTTGACAGATCCAGCAGGCAGAAAATCAGTAAGGAAAGAGTTGAACTGAACAGCACCATCAGTTAGCTGGATCTAACTGAACTTTTAGAATACTTCATCCAACAACAACGGCATACACATTCTTCATAAGCTCAGTTGGAACGTTCACTAAGATAGGCCACATTCTAGGCCATAAAATATGCTTTAACAAATCTAATAGACCAGAAACCATACAAAGTATATCAGATCACAATGAAATGAAATTAAAAGTCAGTAACAGAAAGATGGCTGGAAAAAAAAATCTCCAAATCTTTGAAGATTAAACAACACACTTCTGAACAGCATACGGGCCAAAGAAGAAGTCTCAAGAGAAATTTAAACGTATCTTGAACTAAATGAAAATGAAATACAACTTATCAAAATTTGAGGGATGTAGCAAAAGCAGTGTTTAGGGGAAATTTATAGCATTGAGTGCATGTATTAGAAAACAAGAGAGATCTAAAATTAATAATCCAAGGGACTTGAGAGCAAGGAAAATTACTAGAAACAGAGAGAGTATTATATAACAAAAGGGCCAATCCACCAACAAGACACAGTAATCCTAAATGTGTATGCACCAAACAACCAAGCTGCAAAATATGTGAATGAGAACTGAAAGGAGAAATAGACAAATCCATAATTATAGTTGGAAAAATCAACACCTCTTTGTCAACAATGGATTGAACAACTAGACAGAAAATCAGCAAAAATTTAGAAGTACTCAACACCATCAGCCAGGAAGATCTGCCTGACGTTTACAGAAAACAGCACACAAGAGGAGAAGACGCACTCTTTTCAAGTGCCTGCAATACATGCGCCAAGATAGACCACATTGTTGGCTATAAAACAAACCTCCACAAACTTACAGGAACTGAAATGATAGAGTGCGTGCCTCAACAGCAATAGAATCAAACTAGAAATTAATAATAGAAAGACAACAGGAAATTTTCTAAATATTTGGAAACTAAGCAATGTACTTTTAAATAATCCGTAGGTAAAAGAGGAACTCTCAAGGGAAATTTAAAAATACATTGGATTGAATGACAATACAACTCAAAATTTGTGGAACACATCTAAAGCAGTGCTAAGAAGGAAATGTATAGTACTAAATGCAAACATTAGACAAGACGAAATGCCTCAAATCAATAATCTAAGTTCCCACCTCAAGAACCTAGAAAGAGGAGATCAAAACAACTGAAGCAAGTAGAAGGAAGGAAATAATAAAGATCAGAGTAGAAATCAATGAAATTGGAACAGAAAAAAATAGAGAAAATCAATGAAACAAAGAGCTGTTTCTTTGAAAAGATCAATAAAATTTGAAACCTCTGGCAAGACAGACAAGGGAAAAAAAGAGATAAGACACAAACTACCATTATCAGAAATGAAACAGACAATATCATTATAGACCTTGTACATATTAAAAGAATAGCAAGAGAATACTACGAACAATTCTACCCACATAAATTTGACAACTTAGATGAAAATGTAACTGGCACAATTCACATTTATAAGACAGCTCATATGAATAGCCCTATAAATATTATGAAATCTAATTAATAATTTAAAAATCCCCCCCCCCCACAAAGAAATAATCAGTCCCAAAGAATTATACCAAAAGCTTATGGATTTAACACCAGTTCTACACATTCTATGCGGGAAAGCAGAAGAGGAGGGAACACTTCCCAATTCGTTTTATGAAGCTAGTATTACTCTGATACTAAAATCAAACAAAGACATATAAAAAAAAAAAGTTTATACCAATATCCCTTATGAAAATAGATGCAAAAATCCTTAACACAACATTAGGAAATAGAATTCGACAATATATAAAAAGAATTATCCAACACAACGAGGTAAGGTTTATTCTAGGGAGGCAAGACTGGGTCAGCATCCAAAGATTGATTCAAGAAGTCCACCATCACACCAGGGTAAAGGAGAAAAATCATGTGATCGTATCCACGGAAGCAGAAAAAGCATTTAATATTCAATTCATGATAAAATCTCTCAGAAAACTGGGAACATAGAGAAACTTCAACTGGATAAAGAACATCTACAAAACCTTAAACCTTAGATTATACTTAATGGTGAAAGATCGAATGCTTTCCCCCTAAGATCAGTAATAAGGCAAGGATGTCCACTTTTACTCAGGGTAGTGCTAGGAGACTATCCAGTGTAATCAAGCAAGAAAAGGAAATAAAAGGCACACCAATCAGAAAGAAAGAAAAAAAACCACCCCTATTTGCAGAAGACATGTTTGTCTACAAGGAAAACCCCAAGGAACCCACCAAAAAAATAAACACAAAAAACTTCTATAACTAGTAAGTGAGTTTAGCAAGATTGTAGGGCGCAGAACAACATGAAAAATCACTTGTATATCTAGATCCAAGCAATAAACACATGGAGACTAAAATTTAAAATGCATTATCATTTGCAATCATTTTTTTTTTAAAAAAGAAATACGTAGATGTAAATCTAACACAACACGTCTAGGACAGGCATATTGAAAACTGCAAAATGCTCCTAGTTGATTCTTCCTTTTCAAATTGTTTTAGGTACTCAGTCCCTTCTTTCCATATACATTTTAGAATAAACACTCATACGTTGCTGGTGGGGACGTAAAATGGTATAGCAGAAAAACAGTGTGGCAGTTTCTTAAAAGACTACACCACCACGCAACCCAGCAGTCGTACTCACAGATATTTTTCCTAGGGGGATGAAAACATATGTTCACACAAAAATGTAGACAGCATGATTACAGCAATTTTATTCATTATAGCCCCAAACTGGAAACAACCCAGATGTCCCTCAGTAGAGGAATGGTTAAGTAAACTGTGGTATATCCACACCATAGAATTCAATAAAAAGGAATAAACTATGGATACACTCAAGAACTGGGATATATCTCCAGGGAATTATGCTGTGGGATAAAAGCCAATCCCAAAAGGTTACATACTGCACGATTCCATTAATATAACATTCTCGAAATGGCAAAATTGTAGAAATGGAGAAGAGAGCAGTAGTTGGCAGAGAGGGAAGTGGGTGTGGCTATGAAGGCTCAACACGAAGGATCCTTGTGGTGATGGAGACGTTCTGTATCTTGACTGTATCCATGTCAATACCATGGTTTTTATATTGTGCTATGGTTTTGCAAGGTGTTACCTTTGAGGGAAACTGGGTAATGGGTACACGGAATCTAACCGTTTTATGTCTTACAACCCCGCTTGTGAATCTATAATTATCTCAAAATAAAAAGTTTATTTAAAATAAAAAGAAAGGATGACCCAGGGGCTTTTCAATAATGTTCCATTCCAGGCTTTATTTTAATATCCTTGATTTTTCTTTTTTTCGCCTTTGCAGCAATTACCACAATTGATCTGTGCCTTTCTGGACAGGGATTTCAACAGGAAAGAGGTAGGAAGTAGACCTTAAAGAAAGAAGCCTATTCTTGATAAGAAAAAGACCCCACCCAATATTTCTGAAAACACATGCCTCCCAGGTTTTCAACTACTCCATAAAATTTGGGAGTTGCAAGACCTTGTCAGTGTCCATGTTATCCCTAGTGTTGGCACCTGGTCTGGCCCTCCGAATTCTCCTCCACCAGTGCAGGGTAAGGAATGTTCTCTGCTTCTCTGTGACAGTGGCCAAACTCCCACAGAGCCTGATAGTTTCATACTGCATCCACTCTAGCCTAATGGGCCAACAGTGAACTCTGGGCTTCTTGTGAGGTGGTTGGCTTCTGTGTCATGAAGAATTTCTATGTCAAGTTCACCTTCCTGTGCCTTAGCACGAGATCACTACCTTCACATTGTTCTGACCATGGGGTGTCAGGGTTTGGACTGCACCGTGAAGGTCAGCCTTACCTCATGTGTGCTGATGGCGTTCCTGTGTACTGTAGGCTGCTCCTTCATGTTTCTGGAGATTGCCGAACTTGAACTCAGTCATGAAGGCTATCCACTCTCCCGGGAGCATATTTCACAATGGCCACCATTAGCTTCTCTTTGTGCCTTTGAGTCTCTTGAGCCTTTTCTATGGCAGCAGCCTGCATAAAATCAAAGAGACTGCCCCTCTGGAGCCCAAGAGGTGGGTCTCAGGCTGCATTTGTCCCACTGTAGTAATACTCCTTTAGGTCTTTGGACCTTCCTGACCTATTTCCTTACTTAAATCTCTTGGAAAGCAGAGAATGGGATTGGATTTCTGCAAGAGTGAGCACGAGTTTTTCTTTTCTGGGCATCACCTTGCATCTGATAATGTTTGCAAACATATTGGGTCTTGTGCTCTACATCCTCATCTCCAAAACGCTCTAGAAGAACTGAGGGCCTGATGCATGTGTCCTGTCCTTCCGAGGAGGTAGCATGCGGGCACTGCGAAGTCATAAGACAGCATTCTCAAACTGAGATCCCAGACAATTGTGAATTTATGAGAAATTAAAATTCTTGTGTTTTTATTTCAACAATAACCTAACAAAAATGCTAATGTAACCACTTTGGAGATCATTTGGATGACCCCTTATGAAGCTTTGGCACTGATTGTGGTGTCCTTGGGTGCCATGTAGCTTTAATCATTTTAGGCTCAGGAGAAAAGAGCAAAGGAGGATAGAATATGTAAACAGTGTATTCTTCCAAAGTAAAGGCCAAATGATGCCATGGCTGGAAGAAAATTTCACAATAGTTCAAAGGGAGAGAATGACGGGAGAACTGAGTCATCAAATAGAATGCCGTGCTCTGGAAAATTATAGTCCAGGTGTGAGCAGCAATTTAGATCCAGCAAACTGGTATTATCCATCACATTGAATTAATAATGTCAATTATTAATGAGCAAAAGTAATCAAAATTTAATAATGATGTATACTGATTAAAATATATTGGATTCATTGTTTTGCTTGTTTCAAATCTCTAAAATTATTTGCATGAGGAGTTTATATCTAGTTCTAAGTTTGTGTATTTAAGTAATTTTTTTGTTATAATTTTATTTTATTTTTTATTTTGTTGAGGTCATATTGGTTTATAACATTGTGTAATTTCAGGTGTACATTATTATATATCAGTTTTGGTATAGACTGTGTTGGAAGTCCACAAGAATGCTTTTCCTTTAAGCATAATGCTGTCATAGAATAATTTTTGAACTGGAAAGTTCCTCAGAGATTAAGTGGAGAGGAAACTGAAGCCCCAAGAGATTAAAGGACTTTTCCAAGGTCAGACAGCTAATCCTCAGCAGGGCTGTGAAAGCACCAGGTCCCCTGGTGTCCAGCTCAGGCCCCCTTCCAAGGCACGGCTGTTCAGAAAAGTGATCCAGGAAGGTAGCTTATTCAGCCCCAAACGATGGACGGAGATGTCTTCTCTGAAACAGAGGCTGGGAGTTTTGCCTTTTCTTTTGCAGGCCGCTGACACAGAATACATCAACGATAGGCCAGATGTAATTGAAAAACAAGAAGAGAAGTTTAGAGACAAGATTGAACGTCAGTCCCCACCCTCCCCCAGCAACCCCGCCAACGCCAGTGTTACCATCTACTTTGCCTCCGTCACATTTGAATAAGTGCAGAAGGTCACAGATGATGTGCTGAAGTGCTATTTTTAACATTTCTAAATGGGTGCCACAGATTGTATGCATTAGAAAATAGACTACACAATGATTCTCTTCTGGAAGGTTCTCTCCTGCTTTAAAAATAGATCCACTTCTCTGAGGGCATCATCACTGCAGGCTGATATATTCTGAAATTTAACTTGATGTTTTTTAACCTCTAGTAGATAGTGAAATGATAGATTTTCAAGCTTTGAACTTGTGCTGTTTGTAGATGAAACCCGTCTGAAATATTCTAATATAACATACATTTCATTGGGTTTAGCTACCCGCAAATGATGCAGGAATGTCCCCAGGTAATTTCCAGTTTACCCAGTGGTACCTTCCAAGTGCCTACACATAGTCAATTACTAAACGATATCAGCCATTTCTACAGTTTCATTTCGCCTGTGCTGGCTCTGTCTGCTGCCCCATCATCTCCACTGCCCAGCTTTCCTTAGGGCCACTCCTGCCCTGCTCCCTGCTGCTGATGCTGCTGTTTCTCTGAGACCCCCACTTCTCCCATCTTGGCCAGGACCCCTGCCTCTGCACCCTCCTCCATGGTACCTGTATGGCCCCCGCCTCCCAGAATTCTGCAGTTAAAGGATCTATAACCTCTTTTCAGATGAATCAGTGCGGACAGTGGAATGGTATTAACTTTTTCTTCCCCCCAGGGCTGTTAGTTACCTTGTAAAGCTCCCTAATCAGGAATATGCTCTCTGTATCCACTGGGGCTTCTTCACCCTGAGTCCGTTGACCTCGCAGGAGGCTAAGGCTGGAACTCAGGAAGTCTATCAGTTTGGAGGGGAAAAAAATTACATCTTCATTTTCACTATCCTCAGACTGAAAATCTGCGTTTCCCTCCATTATGAAAGTAGGCAGCAAACACAATAGGAGCAGCAAATCAATGATTCCGCCAGAGCAGAAACCTTTGGTATTGTCATTGAGGGGACCATTGTCGCAGGTATCTGCAAACAGTGTTTATACTCACCATTACTTTAAAATCACAATAATTATCAGACCTGCCACTAGATGTTGTTATTTAAAGTGTTAATAAGGAAGCACATGTATTACTGTAGCACAAGTTTTTTAAAAAATATTTTCAGAACTGTATTTCAATATAATTGGTTTCCTTCACAATTTTATGTATTTTATTTTATTCATTTAAGAGCATTTTTTTCTGAGAAGGAGTCTGTGGGCTTCCCAGACCTCCAAAGGGGTCCATGGCACAAAATGTTCCAGAGACTCTGCCTAGGAGGTTAATTAACATAAGGGCTGTTAGAAATTACTTTTCTCCCATGTAATCAGAGCTGTTCCTGTTAGGAGCCTTGTTCTTGCATTACTGGGGCCCAAGAATCAGAAGACCCGGCAGTCCAATACTTGCCCACTAGACCAAGGTCTTGGACCCCCCTTGGTCTTCCTTTTACAAAGGACATTATCGCCTGGCTCAACCAGAAGCCTGGCTGGTCCTGTAGCCAGGACATTGCCATGTTGGCTTTGGAATGACCCTTTCTGGCAAGATGTGTGTCATAGGTCAAATTGTCTCCTCCACAATGATATGATGAAGTCCTCACCCCTGGTACCTGTGAATGTGACCGTTTTGGAAGTAGGGTCTTTGCAGATATAATCAACTTAAGATGAGGTCATACTGGAGTCTAATCCGATATGACTGGTGTCCTTATAAGAAGAGGAGAAGGGACACACAGGGAGAACGCCGTGTGATGACAGAAGTGGAGACTGGAATGAGGCAGCTGCAAGCCAAGGGACACCGAGGGCTGCCGGCAACCACCAGAAGCCAGGGGGAGGCAAGGAAGGATTTTCCCCCACGATTCAGAGGGAGCGTGGCCCTGCTGACTCCTGGTTTCAGACTTCTAGCCTCCAGAACTGTGAGAGAAGAGATTTCTGTTGTTTGAAACCACCAAGATTGTGGTACTTTGTTAGTGCAGCCCTAAGAAACGAATCCAGTGTGTATCAGAGTGCCTAATAAGGGGAGAGTGGGAGCCTCGCTGAGTCACAAAACTGGTTGTGTGACTTTTGGGACCTAGTTGCTAATAAAGCTTGTACATGTGGCAGAATCTGGTCTGAGCCTAACACTGATTGTTACATGCCATCTGGCTGTGAGATTGCGGGGAAGGAAATATATAGCAGCCTCCCACTTCCAACTGGCGGAGCCTAGCGATACCCAAAATAGTGGCACAATTGTTGGGCCTAGGGATTAGCTTAGCTCAGTTGAAAACAGAATGTCTCTCTCTCCTTTTTTGTGTTACACTTGGCTGAAGCTGCCCTCGTTGCGCAAACACTTCAAGTGAAACGGTCTCCTTCCATTTTTGCTCATCACCTCTTCTTTTTTTTTTTTTTTTTAAGATTTTATTTTTTCCTTTTTCTCCCCAAAGCCCCCCAGTACAGAGTTGTATATTCTTCGTTGTGGGTCCTTCTAGCTGTGGCATGTGGGACGCTGCCTCAGCGTGGCTTGACGAGCAGTGCCATGTCCGCGCCCAGGATTCGAACCAACGAAACACTGGGCCGCCTGCAGCGGAGCACGCGAACTCAACCACTCAGCCACGGGGCCAGCCCCGCTCATCACCTCTTCTTTCCCTGGGCTTCAAACAGAAGTCCAGGAAAGGCTGAGCGGGGACCAAACTCACTGGCAAAATCTATGCTGGTTCCAGCTTTGTCTCCCTCTTCCTTAGGTTGAGTTCCCTCCCAGGGAAAGATCAGTCCCTTATAAGAGCCTGAGTCAGGACCCTCTTCTCTATCAACACCATAGTCTTGTTTACCCAGAGAAGTCAAACAGTACTAGGGCACCAATTCAGACACCCATTTTAGAAGACGCTTTGAGCTCTGAGGCAGAAGCATCCTGGGGCCTTGAACTTCTTACCTCCCTGGTTTGGACACTCAAGGCAGGGATGGTGAAGGGTGGGAATCAGAAGGGACAGGGACATCTCAGTGCTTGGAGCTACCACTCCTCCCCTCTTAAGGCCCCATTTCCTTCTCGCTTAGCTCCGAATCTCCCTATGACCAAGACAGTCCTTCCTTCCCCGGAGGCCTCTGCCTTCTGCTCTTGCCTAGAAATGTGTCCTAAAGTCTGCTCCTGCTTCCGTATATTCATATATATATATATATATAGCCTTTAAAATACACTAGAGCCTTCATAAGAGTCACCCAATCTTTCAGTAAATAGTTTCTCCCAGACCAAATGCAAAGTCAAATATTGACCTGCATAAATTTCTGCTCATGTAACCTCATCTTCAAATGTCAGAAAAAGAGCCTTCAACCTTCTCCTCCATTCCAGAGAGAGATACTATGCAGCTCTTTCGGTCTCACACAAAATCTTCTTCAAAACATCTAGTCCTGCCCCACAAATCAAGTTTTCAGTTGTAGAAAAAACTCTTGCTCAAAATGTCTCTGAGCTAGCTCCTCATGTTATTAAACTACCCTGCTTCTTCTGCTAGTTTTGGCCAGTGAACTAGCTCCCATTTATTGATTGATTGAGATATAATTCATATACCATAAGTGTACAGTTCAGGGGCCGACCTGGTGGCATAGTGGTTAAGTTCACGTGCTTTGCTTCAGCGGCCTGGGGTTTGTGGGTTCAGATCCCGGGTGCAGATGTACACGCCACTCATCAAGCCATGCTGTGGCAGCATCCCACATACAAAATAGAGGAAGATTGGAACAGACGTTAGTTCAGGGCCAATCTTCCTTGCCAAAAAAAAAAGATTCATTAAAGTGTACAATTCATTAATTTTTAGTATAGTCACAGAATTGTCCAATCATCACCAACTCTCTAACTCCAGAACATTTTCATCACCCCAAAGAGAAACCCCATGCCCATTAGCAGTTATTCATTCTCCCCTCTCCCCAGCCCCCAGCAACTACTAATTTAGTTTCTGTCCCTACGGATTTGCCTGCTCCTTTATTTTTTTCAACCCTTTTCCAATCTCAAGAATCCAACCCAGATCTACCGAATTAGCACTTCTTCAGTGAGGGCCTGCTGTGGGGGAGACCCTCTGCTCTGAAAGGCCAGCCGTGTTAAGTCCTCTTTCCTCAGAATGTGGAGAAGAGGGTCAGGCGGCCACACAGATCCCCAGGGGAGGCTGGGCGTCAGGGCTTAAGGAGGCGTGGCAGCAGAGAGTGTGAAGAACACCCGGTCCTCTGACTTTGCAGACTTACGCCACACAGGCTTCATTAGCACAAGGCTTCCATAACCATGGAGAATGTTTGCCGAGCTCACGAGCCTTTGCTTCTAATTTCTGGAGAGCTGCTGCAGGCAGTTGCTAGCTTTCCATGCAAACAGAAACAAACTTAAATGTCCACTGAATGGCTGGAAATTTGATTCTCTTGGGCACAGTCCGCTTGGGCCCCACCTGTCCTCACACCAAGCATTTGCTGGATCTGGTGCTGCCCAATTGCCATCATCCGTGTCCTCCTTCATGGCAGGGCTGTTATTACACCACCAGCTAGCTAAAGTCCTGCAGGATGAAAATAGTTTTAAAGATATCTTTGGAGAATACAACTTCGCCTTAAAATATACAAAATAGGCATATTCATTTCGCTAAGATTTTTTTCTAAACTAACCTACAGTAATTCTAAATATACTTTTAGTTCCGAAAGTATAATATGCATTTTCAAATAATAATATGAAAGAGCATTTGTTTGTTGCTTTTAAGTAAAATACAGAACAATTTTCAGCAGAGTTCTTTTCTTTTCTTAGTACCTACTACTAGTATGTAAATAGTAAAGATTTTTCTCTTGGTATTTCTTTATTCATTTCATTTTCTTTATGCACTTTCATATCATGTCCTCATTTATAATCTCTCATAACAATTTATGCATTCTATACTTATTGATATTTACCACATTAGAAGTTAAAATCAGAAACTTTAAAAAATATTTAATTCATTTAAAAATAACAATAAACTCATTATATGTTAACATAAACATATTTTTAAGAAAAATGTCTATTTTCTAAAACAAAAATTTTAGTGAGAAGAGTGGCATCGTTTTACATTTTTGAAAATCTCTTTAATGACTGTCTCAATAGAAAACAGCTGGATTCTCATACCTACTTTTTAAAATAACAGCTTTATTGAGATATATTTCACAAACCATTCCATTCCCCCATTTAAAGTGTACAATTCAATGGTTTCCATTATATTCACAGAGTTGTGCAACCGTCACCAGTATTAATTGTAAGACATTTTCACTATCCCAGAAAGAAACCCTGTGCCCATGAGCATTCACACCTTATTTCTTCTTACCCTCCACCCCCAGGGCCCTGCCCTAGGCAACTGCCAGTCTACATTCTGTCTCTGTGGATTTGCCTCTTCTGGACATTTCATGAGATGGAATTATACCAGATGTGGTCCTTTGTGACTGACTTCTTTCACACAGCATAATGTTTTCAAGGTTTATCTATTTTGTAGTATGTTTCAGTAACTCCTTTCTTTTAATTGCTGAATAATATCCCATTGTATGCATATACCACATTATATTTATCCGTTCATCAATTGATGGACATTTGGCCATATCTCCACTTTTTGACTATTATGAATAATGCTGCTATGCACATTCTTGTATGAGTTTTTGTATAGATATATATATTTCATTTCTTTGGGTGTATGCCTAGGAGTGTAATTGCTGGGTCATATGGTAACTCTGTGTTTGACATTTTGAGGACCTGCCAGATTGTTTTCCACAGTCTATTTCATATTCTACCAGCAACGTTTGTGGGTTCCAATTTGTCCACATCCTCTCCAACACTTGTAATTATCTGTCTTCTTTATTATTGCCATCCCAGTGAGTGTGAGGGACTATCTTACTGTGGTTTCAAGAAAACAACTGGGGCCAGCCCCGTGGCTGAGTGGTTAGGTTCGTGCACTTCCCTTCCATGGCCCAGGGTTTCGCTGGTTTGGATCCTGGGCGCGGACATGGTACCACTTGTCAGGCCACGTTGAGGCAGCGTCCCACTTGCCACAACTAGAAGGACCCACAACTAAAATATACAACTATGTACTGTGGGGATTTGGGGAGAAAAAGCAGAAGAAAAAAGAAAATGACTGACAGTATTTGTTACTCGTGATAAAATTTATGATCTCAGGTGAAAATCAGAATTTTGGAAGATTAGTGTCTACCACTATGAACTTGACAGCTTCCCAACACCTGCATATTTTCCTGATGAGACTGATGACAACATTAACAACTGCAATTGTTTTAAATATTATGTCCTGAATTGTGTCACTATTTGGAACTTCTGTGTACCTCAGTGAATCAATATTTTCCAAATGACCAAAACATGATATTACAAAATTCTGCATGGGCAAAAGAGACCATTCAAAGACAGACCAATGGATTTAATATAACAGAGAACAAAAAGTACACTGCTATGGTTTTTGATTTCACATTACAATTAACCCTTAAGAAACTACCACTGGCAGCGGCTGGCCCAGTGGCGCAGCAGTGAAGTTCGGCCGTTCTGCTTCCGCGGCCCGGGGTTTGCTGGTTTGGATCCCAGGTGCAGACATGGCACTGCTTGGCATGCCATGCTGTGGTAGGCATTCCACGTATAAAGTAGAGGAAAATGGGCATGGATGTTAGCTCAGGGCCAGTCTTCCTCAGCCAAAAGAGGAGGATTGGCAGTGGATGTTAGCTCAGGGCTAATCTTCCTCAAAACAAAGAAGAAAAAAAAGAAACTGCCACTGACAGAGTTTGGGAGTTACATCAAAGAATATCCACAGTTATCTGAAAAGGCTATTAAAATATTCTTCTCTTTTCCAACTACATATCTGTGTGATGACAGATTTTCTTCATATTTCAGTCAGACAGACTGAATGCAGAAGTAGATATGAGAGAGAGTTCCAATTCCAGAATGGCAGCATTGTGAGCTCCACAGGCTCAGGTAAAATGAGCACAAGAGATGAAACTATAATAAAACAACAATGTAAATTCTCTGGAAATTGTCCTAAGGGCATACATTGAATGAAGAAATATTTATTCAAGAAAACCTACCAAAACTTGGTAAGAAGAGCGAGAGTCTGGGGTGCTTGGGCCCTAACTCCCTCCTCCCTGGCCCAGCTCAGCTTGACAGAAGCTCCACTCAGACAGGTATGGTGAGAAGATGGGGCTCCGTCAAGAGAGGGACTCCTAGTCAGTAGATACAACATCTCACAAGGAGAAGCAGGCTGTTAGCGTTTCTCGCCCCCTCCAATGCCCAGTTGGAGAGGCTAAATTCCTAGGGAGTGTGGACAACAGTTTGGGGGCTCTCTTCCTCCACTCAGACCTCACTCATAAGGTGGAGGCTTTATCCCAGGTAAAATAGGGTGAGAATACTGGGATCCTGGTCACTCTCACCCTGGCTTACTTGTAGGGTGGATGTTCCACATCAGGAAAGGCAAGCCAAGAAGACCAGAAGCTACCACCCCCATCCCGTGCCAGGAGTATGGTGGCTCAGAGATTCTCCCAGGGGTAGAAGCGGTCCATAACAACAGAGCCCTCTAAATCTGTCCTCAGAAGAACTGAATTTATTTGTTCAGTTGCAATGAAACTGTAGGTCAGTCTGGGGAGTACTGCCATCTTAATATTTAGTCTCCCAATCCTTGTACGTAGGATGTCTTTCTACTTAATTAGGTCTTCTTTAATTTCTTTCAACAATGCTATGTAGTTTTTACACTTTGAGAACTGCTGCTTTATGGAAGTTATAAGTAAACGTCATAGATGACCACTTTAGAATTATCTTGTTTCCTTCTCCTAAACTTGTTCAGCTGTCACTGCTCAATCTTAAAAATTCATACTCCCCTGAAGTACAAGTTTGATGGGGAGAAGCAATCATTTCTAAAGTTTTATCCTGGTCTTGTAAGTCTAATTTTAGCACGTTTTCACACAACTCTGATGACCATACATGGCTTCAAGCTGGTTTTAATTTGTAATGCCTTACTTAAATTACGACATTTGTAGCTTTCTTGAAAATGACAGCTTTTTGGATGGAGAGACACAAATACAGAGAAGGAGGCCAGATCACCTAAATAGGGAAACTTTAGGAGCTCGTCATCTTTTCTAAGTCTTTAGTGATGAGAGCATATGTACAGAGTCCTTTTGGCCATGAAGAGTGTTCATTTTAATCTCCCTATCCTTGGGTCTACCCCAAATGGTACTGGCTCTAAGATTCAGGAGATTTAAACTGCAAAGTCCTTGTTGTCTTGAGAAAAAGTGTAAAGAGTTATGATCTTCCTGTTCTGACTAGAACTTAGAACATGTGAGCACATAGTCCATACCCATGTAATGGGATGATAATATCATTAAGAACGATAACGATGAGATTAACAAGGAAGCGAAAATTGCTAGGTGCAAAAGAATGCCATCTTGGCCACCCTTCTTTGAGTGGTAAAACATCTAAGACAACATATTCTGAACTATGACATATAAGCAAATTCATCTAATTCTTATCAAAATCAAGAACATTCTTTCTTTAGCTGCCAAGGTGAAGAATATAATTAACCTATTCAAGGAACTTGAATAGGTAGTTAATACATCTGTTTTTGGAGTCCCTTAGATTATTCTTCCTCCTTCCCTAAACCGTGATTTGGGTTTTCCTTGGTTTTGTCTGCTGGGCCCACCAGCCTTGGTACCACGTGCTGGCTGGCACTAGGCAACGGATGTCTTGAGGCCCTTAGTGAAATAATATATGTGCTGAGGACACGGGATGAGTGGGCCCATCTGCATATACACATAACTGTCAGTGGCCCAAATACCATAAAAGTTTTCCTCAGAGAATACTTACTAATTATCACCAAGTGTCAAGACACCAGTTAGGGCTTTTTAAAACTAATACAAGAGATTTTACAAAGAGTAATGTGGCTTTGGAATAGTTTTGAGGAGGTGGGACTTACAGGTAGGTTCATTGAAAAACATCAACATGAAACTTCCAGTTGTGTCTAAAATGCTGGAAAAGGGCAATATTAACATAGCGCTTATTATCTGTCATCATAATTATTACAATAATTACATATACATTTGCTAAATTCTGTAGTAGGTGGTATAGGAAGCAAGCAAACCAGATAGAGTCACTGACTTAGGTCATGTGGTAGATAAGTCCAAAGACAGGCTCTTAAAGGCTTTTTCTTAATCTTGAGGAACATATGGACTCTTTCGAAGAAAAAGAAGACAACTACTATGGTCTTACATTATTTTTATTATAACGTTTCTTAAATCCACCAATATAAAGCTAGCAATAAACTAACTCCTCATGCTTATAACTTATACAATTTTAAAACCAAAAGAAATTTATAAGATAAACACACAAAGACCATGAAATGTAGTAAAATTCAAGTGGACATCTACCGCGATATGCTACTGTTCT